ATAGGTTAATAAATTTATTTTTTTAAATAAAAAATTTAATTGACTTTAAAATACAGTAAGCAAGTATATTAAATACTAATAATCAATAAAAATAATTTACTTTTTAATAAAATTAAATAAAAAATTTAGTTGATTTTAAATTATAGTAACAAATATAATTAAATATTAATAATCAATAAAATTAATTTACCAATTATTATATTATTAATTATTTTTTTAAATAAAAAATTTAGTTAATTTTTAAAGTAATAAGTATAATTAAATACTATTTTTTTAATAAAAAGTTTAGTTGACTTTAATTATAATAAGAAATATAATTAAATATTAATAATTAATAAAAATAACTTACTTTCTTTTAGTTTTTTAAATAAAAAAATTTAGTTAAATTTAAATTATAGTTATTAAATACTGATAATTAATAAATGTAACTTACTCTTTAATTTTATAAATAAAAAATTAGTTATGAAAATTTCAATAAAAAGTATAAATATATAATAATAATTTACTTTCTAAATTATTAATTAATTTTTTGAAATATAAATTTATTTAAGATTAAATATTAAAAAAAAAATACAATTAAATAAATTGATTTACCATATAATGCTAAAAAATATTAATTATTTTTTTTTTTTTATTTTAATATTAAAGAAAAGTAAAATAAAATATTTTTAATAAATAATTAATTTTTTAAAAAAAAAAATTTAAAATATATAAAACTTATAATTAAATAATAACTTACTATATTTTTATGATAAAAATTTTTAAATAAAATTTATTAAGGTATTTAAATTAAAAATAGACAATAAAAATAACTTACTTGCTAAATATTATATATTTTAAAAATAAAAAATTTGATTAAGATTAAATTATAACAAAAGTATAATTATAATACAATTAATAAAATATCATATAATCTAAATGATTTAATATTGTTTAAATAAAAAATTTAGTAAGAATTTAAATTACAAAAAAAAAAAATAATACTATTAATTAATAAAAGTACTTACTCTCTAATATTAATATATATTAAAATAAAATAATTTAGTTGAGTTTAAAGTATAGCATAATATATAATTAAATAACTTACGTTCTTAAAATTTAGTTATTTAATTTTATAAAAGCATAATTATTTACTTACTATAATAATTCATTAATTATTTTTTTAATTAATAATTTGATGGAGTTTGAATTATAATAAACATAAATTCGTTATAGATAATATATACAAATAAATTTACCAACTAAATTCGTAATTTTTTATTAACAAGAAAAATATAGTTAAGTTTAAAATTATAATAAAGGTGTAATTAAACAATAAAATAACTTACTCTCTTGATAATTAATTATTTAATATTAAAAAATTTGATAGTAAATTAATTATTAAAATATTTTAAAATAATATTAGTCGAGTTTAAATAACAATTAAATATAGATAATCAATAAAAATAACTTATTCAACCATTAATAATTAAATTTTGTTTGAATAAAAATTTATTAAGTTTAAATTACAAATTAAATAAATAATCAATGAAAAACTTACGTTCTACAATGTTAAATAATTTAGTTAAGCTGAAATTACAATAAAAAGTATAATTAAAAATATAAAAATCAATAAAAATGACTTACGTTCTAAGTTATTAAAATCGATAAAAATAAATTCTAATACGGGAGAGTCTAATTAATTTTTTAAGAAAAATTCTTTTTGAATATTTAACTTTAGCATGTAGAAATAAATTAAAAATGTACCCTCATCTTTATCATTATTGTTGTAAAGTCTACACATAAAATCGAACTGACAACAATACATTTATAACAATAGCATTCCGCAGAAAAACCTAAAAGGTAGTGTTACGATTAAATGTAATTCCGGACGAAATCATCATAACTTCGCTTGAAAACGTTCTTGATAATAATAGTTAGTCCCTTTGACGATCATTTGCCAGGCTGTCACGGTGCCAAGATGTCAGGATGCCAGGTTGTCACGGCGCCAGTTTGTCAAGGTGCCAGTATGACAAATGATCAAAATGCCAGGCTGGCTTAATTAATATTTTTATATATATCGAGCCGGAAATCCTAAAACAGCACATTATCCCATGCTCGCCTTTAATATATTTCTTTGAAAATCATTTCCTTCGCAATCCTCCTTTTACACCTTCGCGATAAGTTCGATTTTCGCCCTTTTAATTTTATAATTTCGCATATGTAATATAGCGTTTATTATTTTTATTTTAATTTCCGATTTTATTAGTATATTCTTATTCAATTTTTTATGTAACAATTTCGTAATTGCGTAGTTTTAATTAATTAGAATTAGTATTTGGCATTTATAGAGTTTAAAATATTGATATAACGAAAGTGTAGAGCGCCCAACACTGATTAATTTGATATTATTAAATAAATACGTGTCACCAATTACTTCATTTTTATTACAAATTGTTTATAAATACATAAATGAAAGAACTGAATACAACAGTAGTGATTTTCTCCATTTAACCATTGACCAATAAAATAATATACAGTACAAACCAAATTTATTTATTTTATATACTAAAAAAAAAATCATAACAATATGGTCGCTAAGGAGCTCAACTGCCGAAACTTTATTAAACTTATGGTAAATAATTTAAGTTTACTCAGATCAGACAAAAAATGTTTTCTTATAGGAATGAATCTAATGAATTAATAACGTTGCATAATTTATAATTTGGATGTTTTTAATAGGTCAAGAGATTAAGACATTAGGATAAATTATTTCACCATTCAACTGCCATACATTATACTTAGATCTTATATTTATTCGAATATTTTAATTGACAAATTTAATCTAATTTTCTCACTTCGGTAAATAAAAGCTTCCGTTATCAAAAAATAAATTTAAAAATTCTGTATATTCCTTAGAACGAAATAAAAATTAAAAATAATTTTGCTTCCGATTTTGCACATATGCACAAACTTAAAAACGTAAAGATATATTACCAACAAAACAAATCAAATTCATATTTCTATGCTATATCTGTTCGAATTTTGAGGCTATCAACTTTTTTGCAATGAGATTTTTTCTAACTGGACGGAAGATTGGATTAATTGGTATGTTTAAAAGCGAAGAAAAATTTGAACGGCATCCATTATACGACAAAGCCATTAACCAATTAATTTTAAGGAGGATATACCCTCTGATACTACCAAATGATTTAAAGTTATCTTTGAAGGTACAATAAAATAACGTTTGAATATTGAGCCTGAAAAGTTATGAAAGTGGTATCTAATTATCAAATTGATTATGGACGAATATTATCGGGAAAATTTTATTTTTGACTAATAAAACTTATTTGTTTACGTCCGTGTTATGTGGTGCAGAACGTAAACTCAAAGTGTATATTTATAAGCATTACAAAATGGTTTTGAGTTAAAAACCGCTTTCCTCATTATAAAAAATAATAATAATAAATTAAATTGATCTAGTGGAATAGAGGATTTAATGCAGAGGATTTTTAAATGTACGGTTACCGAAAGTTCTAAAAAACGATTGCAGAGTGAACTTTTTGTCAAAGAACTTTTTGAAGAGAAAGTTCTTCCGCCGGAACATAAGTTATCAAGTACACATCGCGAGGTTCGTAGTATTAATTGCTCGTATGTATTCTTTTACATTTTTTAAAAAGAAAACAGTATATTATGTAGGTTTTTTATATCTTTTTTATTTAAAAATATTTTAGAAGTCATAAAACATGGCTTTGCAAAATTGGTGATTCAAATACAACAAATCTCATCACCTGAATAAAATCCAAAAAAAATAAAGCACTTAATAAATGAAGAACAAAGCACATTAGATGAATTTTTGAATGTAGAGGGAACGTCAACTGATGTATGTATTGTATTATAAACTATTTTTTTTTTATATTTATTTTTATTAATTTATATTTGATATTCTTTAAGTTTACACAAGAAGACTTTCGTAAATTTATTAACAAATGGATAATTAAATTATATAGTTACATGAAACCGAATATCCACATTTAGCCATAATGGCTAGAGATTATCTTGCGATTACAGGTAAAAAAAAAAAAAAATATTGGTCATTAACAAATAATTTTTAATAAAGCAACAAGTGTCCCGGTAGAACGAGTTTTTTCTGGCGGAACTATCTAATATCGACCAAAAGATGCGGTCTTAAAGCTAAAACAATTCGCGCCTTATGTGTTGAAATCCTGGTGGTAAAAAATGTAAAAAAAAAAATAGTTAGAATGTCAACAAAAAAAATAATAAAATAAACAATTTTAAAATACTGTAAAATAAACTATTTACGACACTTTTTTATTTCGGAGTTAATATTACCTTTGAAATTCGAGTCGGTCCCGGGTTGATCGAGTCGAATCCGAGTCGAATCCGAGTCGAACAATGATCGGGTCGAGTCGAATCCGAGTCGAATCCGAGTCGAACAATGATCGGGTCGAGTCGAGTCTCGGGTTCTGTAATTATTAATGGGTTCGAGTTCGAATATGCTTCAAACCCGACCCGACCCGACCCTTACGGAGCACTAATTATGAATAATAAAAAAAAAAAATTTGGAAGGTAAAAACAAGATTATATAAATTAATTTAAATTTAATTCCTTCGAACTATTTTATATTGAAACTAAAGATTTTTTTTTTTTGGATAGGTATTGAAATTGTAAATATCTAAATATTAAATATTTTAATAAAATTACGTGTAACAACCAACTTTCAAATGAATCATTAAATTTATATTAATAATTCCAAACATTGCTGGAAATTTCTTCAATGTTAATCACAAAAAGGAATTCATTTTACAAAATTTGTAACACAAATTCATCTCAAGTTCTCATGTTCCCGATTCCATATGCTTTGTCCCAAATCAACTTTCTTCGAAAATTTTCCATCACATAAAACCAATCAAATGTTTTGTATCTTGCACGAGGTTTCATCTTCTGTAAGATATAAAGAGGTGCTAAAATTTCGAGAATTTAATTCAATATGCAACAACATGTCACAAGACCCTCTCTACTTGGATATTAACAGCTTTGCCAGCCTCGCTGATCTCTTTCGGGTGGCTGAAGAGCCTGAGTGTTCCAAAGTTCAATTTGCTGAAAATGTGAATCTACGAAAGTATATCGAAAAGTCTTATAGAGGGAATATCTTATCCTATAACAATTGGACAAAACATATGTTACGTTTGGAAGAAATTAAACTTCGCTTACCTTCTCTTGCGAACGCGGGTGATGTCGTTGAACTCGTTCAAAGGTTGAATAGCGCTAGCTCCCTTGATGAAGAGCAGAGTTATTCGGCTGGAATCGTCATTCAGCTGGTGACCCGTTTGTTGACCTTTTCGCTGCAATTTCGAAGATCTCTCTCCGCTGTGCCAAAAGATCGTTTAACTTCGGCACTATCTGCAGTATCGGATTACCACAGTGCTGTGTTAGATCACTCAACCCTTTCACAACGTTACCGTGGAAAGTACTTGAGAACGATTTCATGGAAAAAGCTCAAATATGTTACAATTGCCTTTCAATCCGTATGTATATTGGTTTTAATATACTTTTTTTTATAAGGTGTTGCATTTCTAACATTTGAACGTTCGATCTAAAATGAATGACACAGGTACAGCGATCCGACGGGTGATATAAAAGCGTAACGTATCATAAATCCTCTTTGTCCGTGACTACAACCTTTCTCTCACACGATTCCTCTCTTAAACTATTGCAGAATCATTTCCGGTGCATCTCCTTTTGTAGTCACAGGTGGCGCGATACAACCCTTGGACACGACCGTAGGCTTTAAAAAAACATTTATCGTCAGGCGACCGGGCAATCCAAATCCTTTGACAAATCCGTTCATTCCGATGCTTCCTTCACACAATTTGTGTTCAAGGAATTTGTGCGCCATAAAATCCCAATGAAACGGGTTATCAACGGGGTATACATATGTTACGCGTATCCTTTGAACAAAACGTATTATTACACCACCCTCACACTTGACCCATTTCGATTCAAGGTGTTAAAGAACCTGATCTTTTATGAGGTCGTTTCCGGAAAAGCCGCTTACATTCAGAGTGCCTTGCACCTCTTCATGAGTATGTGCACGTGTGAAGAGGATTTCTGATTGATAATGGAAGGGTATGCTAGTTTTTGTGAAAGGATGAAGGAGCTGTTGGACGTTATGTATTGTTGGAAATTTACAAACACGTGGACTTGGCACACGGAATTGGTCAAGATTGCAATGTGGAAGGATTCAAAGGGGGACACATCCACATGAAATGACTTTGCAACCACTTGCTATTCCGGAGGATTACTCAAGACGGAAGTGACCGCTGCTATATTCAAGAGCCTTTGTTAGAAAAATAAAGGTAGATATTATATTCACTTTGTTACGTATTTAAAATTATTTTGATCTTACGAGCTGAATTCATCATACTCTTTTCTAACATCATGACAACCGAATTTTGTATTTCTCGAATTAAATATATATTGCAATATTTACATAGAGTGAATTTATTTTTATTTTATTGTCCTGCTAATTTTTTTAGAAAAAAAAATAGAAAGTTCCGAGGGTGAACTTATTCTTTTGGTTTTTTTTCTATTCATTAATTCTTTTAAACCACCCAATTTTTAATAATTTTCCCTTGGAAGTAATTTCTCCCGTCATACCGATATCAGAGCAAACTGCTTTGTTTTTAATTATTATTATTTTTATTTGTATTTTATTACTTCATTACATCTTTTATTCCTGATATCTTTACATTCATATTCTTAAAAATAAACACGCAACATTAACCAGAAATTTTAAATTCCACCTAAAAATTTAATATTAAAATTTCTTGCTCATTCAATCCAAAATTTGACCGAAAGTTTTTTTTTTTTTTGCAATAATTTTTTGCAATAGATTTTGACGTGTGTGTTACAATCTATGTTGTGAAATCGTAATCACTTAGAATAACAAAAAAAAAAATTTTCGTTGTTGAAGAAAAAGTAATTTCTAATGCCAAGAGTTTAATGTTACAATCGTAAAGTGAATAGCGTCTTAACCTACAGATTATTTTTATTTAATGTGGGTCTGCGCATTTATAGAAAATTTACAAGATTTGTAAAAGAAAAGTTATAAAGATATTTTTGATAATGTATGCAATTTAAATTTCTTGTACAGTCGCGTCCGAAAGTGATGCCCGATTTTGTACGGTGTTACGATACACCAAATTTACATTATTTATACCTCCTTTTTTTTTATTTTTAAATGTTTTTCTCATATTTCATAACCTAATAAACGCATTATAAAGTTAAAAAAATAATGTCAC